GGGTGGGGGTGGGGGCAGGAGCCCTGGGGGCCGCCCTGGCACCAAGGTTCCCAGCTGGCTCCCCTGGCTGGCAGGAGGTGGGCACAGCCAAGGGGGGTGGGTAGCAGGCACCCCAGGCAGGCCAAAAAGGGGGTGCTGGGACTGAGCTGCCCACTGGACACTGCCTGGAGTTGGCACCGAGCTCTGGAAGGAGGAGGGGTCACCCCTGGGACCTGATGACGCCCCCCCCAAAGCCCTAAATCCTGGGAGCTGTGACCAGGCCCATTCCCCGTCGGCACCGCCTGCCAGGTCAGAGGTCTCAGGCTCCCATGCCCCACAGGACCATCTGTTTCGTCGGGGCCCCTGCTGCCCCCCTCACCTGGGCCTGCCTTCCTGAGGCAGGAAGAGGGCTGCCCCCCCAGCTCCCCACCCCACGCTCCAGGGGGCATTTGGAGGAACAGTGATGGCGCCACATGTCCCTGCATCTATGCCAGACGGGCCCATCTGCCAAGGCCCTGGTTCCAGCCGCCGGAAAGCCAGGCTGCCTGTGCCTGCAGTGGACCCCGCGCTCCAGCTGGGGAGGAAGCACCTGATACCCACGCCTTCCCCGTCACCCACTCCCTGTGAGCCCTGGTCGGTGGAAGAAACACACACAGCTGAGCCTGCGGACCTTTATGCTTCTGTGGGTGCCGCGCTGGGCAAGGGGCAGCGTGAGGGCTCAGGTGGGGGAGGGGGAATCCACAGCCACCATGGGGGGGAGAGGCTTTATGTACCCCGTGCCTCTCGGCAACTGTGTCTGCTGCCAACCTTGCTTTTGTGGTGTCCTTAGGTTGGGATCATCTGTGTCTCTGGGCCTGGGTAGGGCACCTGTCCTCCCTGCAGCTGCGAGTATGTCCGACTACTGTGGGTAAGAATAGTTCATTTAGTGATTAAGATCTAAATCCCCAGCCAAGTGTGATGGCACACACCTGTCATCCTAGTGCTCTGCAAGGCTGAGGCAGGAGGATCGCAAACTTCAGCCCTGCCTGGGCAACTTAGCAATTCAGCAAGATCCGGTCTCATTTTGGGGGGGGGTACCAGGGATTGAACTTGGGACCTCTTGCACTTGTGAGGCAGGTGGCAAATCCACTGAGCTAAATACCTGGCCTCAAAAAAAAAAAATAATTTTTTTTTTAATTAAAAGGCATGGGAATATGGCTCAGAGTGCAGGCCCTGGGTTCAATCCCCAACACTAAAAAGAAAAGAAAGTCTGGGGCTAGGGGTGCAGCTCAGTGGTAGGGCACTTACTTGGCATGTGGAAGGGCCTGCTGAGTGACCCTTGGGGGGCTTCTGAGGCCACCTTGCACCCCGTAAAATGGTGTGACATTAGCCCCAGTTCCCAGGGCTGCTCAGACTACAGAGAGAGGATCGGAGTCAGCGTTCTCAATGCACTGCTGAGGCCCGGGGCCTGGCGAAGGGTCGGGAGCACACACACCTGTCTACTGCGGCTCCTGCCCACAGTGGGGCAGGGCGAGGGCTTTAGGACTTATCTCTGTCCCTGCGTCCCCCGCCTCTGACCCAGTGTATCCAGGTCAGCGTCTTTCCTTTCCTCTTTTTCTTTTCTTCTTGTTATTGGGGTTTTGTTTGTTTGTTTGTTTGTTTGTTTGATTTTAAGGCAAGATCTCACTATGTAGTTCAGGGTGGCCTTGAACTCGTGGTGACCCTTCTGTCTCAGCCTCCTGAGTGCTGGGCTCACAGGCGTGCGCCACCACGCCCGGCTGTCTTCTCTTCCCTTTTCCCTTCTCATCTTTTCTTTCCTTTTCGCAATGCGGGGACTTGAACTCAGGGCACAAGTGCTCTCTCACTGAGCTGTATCCAAGCCCTGTCCAGCTGTATCATGTCCCATCTCTCCAAGATCGGTGTCCGTCCATCCACCCACAAGGCTGTCACAGCTTCAGGCTACACTGACAGCCCTCCACGAGCACAGTGGATGTCTTCACCCACTGAGGGGACGCTGGGCTGCCCACTCGACACCACAGGACCACTGGTGCCCGGCGCTTCCGGGTGGGCGCACAGCTGTTGCAGAGGGTGCGTGAGGCAGTGACTGAGCCGGGCACGTACGGGGAGGAGCACTGACCAAAGCACAGTTGGGTGTGGACGCGGGCAGCTGTGCAGCTGGGCCGGGACAGCACCTGGGGCCAGGCACAAGGGGATGCAGGGTCAGGGCAGTGGCATGGGGCAGAGTGGGGAGAGGAACTGCCACCTGCTCCTCCCACCATGGGAGGCTAGGACTCCAGAGCCATGCTGCAGTCTGGACCCTGCCATCGCCTGGCTGTGTGACCTTAGTGAGTTCCTCAGCCTCTCAAGGTCACTTCCCTCACCTGTAGAGTCATAGCCTCTCACACAGGAAAAGAAGAAAGCATCCTAAGCTTTCATGGAGTCCACTGCCCAAGGGACAGAGATTATAAAGCCAAGTAAGAGACAGATAGGAGCACCCACACCTGAACACTCACCAACAGGAAGCTGCTGCACCCCTGGGGCTCAGGAATGGGGTGGGGCAGAGGATTCAACTCTCAGCACTGTGCCTAGTACACAGCTGGTGCTCAATAAGTGCTGGTTCCTCCCATGATCCTCTCTTCCTAAGTGGATCTAATATCTCAACCCTAACCGCAGTCCTCCTTTGCACGTAGGTGGGTGTGTGGCACGTGTGTGAAATCCCAGCGCTGGGCAAGGCTAAGGCAAGAGGATCATTAAATTTGAGCCCAGCCTGGGCAATTTTATGACTCAGAGAGGCTTGTCTCAAAATAAAGGGGGCGAGGTGAAACTGTTCATCAGTGTGAAGACCTTGGAATCAATCCTCAGTACTGAAAAAAAGAAAGAAAGAGGGAGAGAGAGAGGGAACTTGCCCTCAACTAGGCACTCCTTTTCTTCCTTAGGCTAAGACACACATCCTGCCCACAGCCGAAGTCTGCCACGCTCTGTCCTGAGCATCCCCTGGCTCCCTTCTGCCTACCTCCCTTGCTGGCTGCAGCTCCTTCTCCTCCCTCAGAACACCCAGAAAGGAGGCAGCACCCAACTCGTCCCTTCACACGCCTGAGCCACAGCTCTGTCTCTCTGGAGGTCGTCCCGGCCTGGGCTTTCTCTCCTGCAGTATAAACTACCCAAAGACAGGGGCTGTGGTCCAGGACCTCAGGACACAATTCCTAAGGAAAGCCGACTGCAGCAGGCTAGGCAGCGGGGTGCAGGCAGTGGCCTTCAGAGACTGAGTCAGGACAATCACAAGTTCCAGCCCAGCCTAGGCAACTTAGTGACCTAGCGAGACCCTGTCTCAGAAGTAGAAATAAATTTACAAATATATTACAAGGGCTGGGGATGCAGTTCAGTGTGTAGGCCCTGCGTTCCATCTCCAAGACCAGAAAATAAAACACAAAAGCAGCCGTGGGGTCTTGGGAACCAATACCTGGGCTCAAGCCCTTAGGTCAAACCTTTCCCAATCAGTAACTCTGCTTTGCAGGGTGAGAACTGAGGTCAGAGGAGGAAAGCTTCTTACCCTGGCCACACAGAAGTCAGCCACGAAGGCAAGATCTGAAGATGGCACCCAGGGTCAACTGCTAAGGCTGTTCTGAGCCCCACCTGAGTGGAGCAGCAAGAGCCTTCCCACCCCCATGAGAGGCAAGTAGTACTACCAATCAACAAACACTGAATTCATCTTGTGCCTGTCCTTACTCAAGGGCCTGGGGACAGGGACACTGCAAAGAAGAAAACCAGATAAACAGTATTTCCTCCACGGCAGATGCTGCAAGAAAGGAGGAAGACAATGTGTCTCATTACAAAGAGAACTTGAGGACACATTAGCTGATGGCACCCACAACAGAGCCTCCTGCCTCAGCCTCCCCAGTGAGTAGGTTTATAGGCATGTACCACCATGCCAAGGTACACATTTTTAAATAAATGACGTTCTAGATGAGATCTTTAGATGAGAGAAGGGGCTGTAGGCCGTCTCGGCGAAGGAAGAATGCTGGGCAGAGGGCACACGTACAATGCGAAGGCCCTGCGAGAGATGGAATGTTGGTGTGTACGAAAAGCAGGAGCAGAGTGAGGAGGACAATGGGAGGTGAAGTCGTGAGGGGACAGGGTCAGAGGGTGAAGACTCAGGGGACACAAGGAAGAGTCGGAGTTTCGTCCCAGTGAGGGAGAAGCCACAAGGGGAAGAGAGATGGGAACCCACCCAGCCGCCCACACGCACCCCCTGGAGATTGGGACGGGAAGCAGACTCGGGAGGTGGTGGCGACACCGCCAGGCCAGGCGGGCACTGCCTGTGTATGGTCAGTTTGGTAAGGCAGAGAGCTGCGGCTGAGAGGCATTAGGTGGAGGGCGCAGGGCTTGAATTCACATCTATCGGGGCTGAAGTCCAGCTACTCAAGAGGATCCTGGCCAGCCTGGGCAACTTAGTGAGCCTGTCTCAAAATCAAAATAAAGCCGGCTGGGGCAACTCAATGGTACAGTTCTTGCTTAGCATTTGTAAAGCCCTGGATTCAACTCCCCAGAACCCCCCAGAGAATTGTGTCTGGGGCCACTAGCTGTGCCCACTCCTGCCCCCAGGGCCTCCTCACCTGAACGAAGAGTACAGCCCTGCACCTCTCCTGGGCCACTTCCTGCGGGTCCAGAGGCAAAGACATCGCAGCAGCCACTCCTTCCCCTTGCTTCAACTTGCCTGGCCTCTCCCATCTGCCGCTCTGCAGGCCCAGGAAGGCCCTCCAGCCGCCCAGGGCAGGGGCTGCCAGCGGTGCCGGTGGCACCAGGGCACCGGTCCTGTTGGGAGCAGCCCAGGGCTGTGGCAGGGGAGCCCCGGGCCCAGGCCACTCTGAGCCTGTGGACAGCCAGGCCCCACTCAGCAGCCCCAAGAGAGAAGTGAGGAGGCCACAGAACATGGCCCAGCTGTCTACCATCTGTGTCAGACTAGGACTGGGCTCAGGGTCCTGGGCACTGACCCTGCTGTCTGTAAGCAGAGCCTGGCCTGGGACTTATATTTAATCGCTGCCAGCCCCCTTCCCCCACCCCCAGCCTGGGGGGCGCCTGTGTAACCTCACAGCAGGGTGGTCAGTGAAGCAGGCCTCCTGGGCTCCAGGGCTCCTCCCACCTGCAGTGGGGGTCTGGAATTCGGAATCCAAACTCAGCCTGAGCGGCCACACATATCATCCCAGCCAGTCAGGAAGCTGAGGCAGGAAGATTGCAAGTTTGAGGACAGCCCGAGCGACTTAGCAAGACCCTGTCTCAAAATAAAATAAAAAGGGGCCGGGATTCGGCTCATGGTGCCGCCGTCTGCCTTGCAAGCACAAGGACCCAAGTTTGATCTCCGGTACCAAAAAAAAAAGGGCAGTGGTGAATGCTTATCTCACGATGGTTAGCACCACTTAGCCCTACCACAGACCACGGATCATTCTCAGTCCTGAGGACACCCCTGCACTGTAATGCAGAAACCAGACAATAAACATAAATAAGATGACTTCAAAATCATAAGCTTTTGGGCCAGGGATTTAGCTCAGTGGCACCACACCACAAGGTCAATCCCCGGTACCAAAGGAAAAAAAAAAGCAGTATATCTCAATAGCACTTGCCTAGCATCTGGGAGGCCCTGGGTTCAGGTCCCAGTCCAGGAAGGAAGGAGGGAAGGAAATAAGGAAGGGTTCTTAAAGTTGCACAAGGTGGCGCACGCCTGCAATCCCAACCACTTGGGCAACCTAGGCCTCGAACCCAAAGTACAAAGTCATCTTGGGAAACTTCCAAGATCCTGTCTCCAAAGAAAATTTTATTTATTTATTTATTTTTTGGTACCGGGGATCGAACTCCGGTCCCTGCGCTTGCAAGGCAAGCGGTGGAATGACTGAGCTAAATCCCCGGCTTCAAAGAATATTTTAAAGAGTGCTGATTCCATCCCTTATATCGCAAAACAAAACCAAACTCACAACCAGGGGGGAAAAAAAAAGGAGGAAAAAGAAGAAATCAAAATGAAATGAGCCGCAGAGGGGTAGGGCAGAAGCCTCTGTTCCCAGGGTGGTCAGGGAAGGCCCCCCCGGGAGGGGACCGTATTGCAGAGGCCGGATACGGCGCGGGAGGCGGTGGGAACAGCCAGGCGGGGAGGGTGGTGGAGGATCTCGGCCCGGGAGCCTCGCATCCAGGTGTGGAGAGGGCGTGGGAAGGCGCGGCCGGGGTCCTTCC